CGTGTATTTACTTAGAGTCTAGGAGGCAAAGGCGGCCGCCATCCACACCGGCTGCCGGGAAGAAATCGGAGCATTTGTATGCAAGACCAAGTTGAGGAGTCCCTACACCCAAGCCACTTGTTGTAGAACTGGCCGAGGTCAGAGGTCAAGGCGGGATTTGCCCTCCCCCTCCCTACAGCTGCAGCTTTGTTCTGAGGAGAGGGGAGGAGTGGCTCCCTCCCTTTGCCAGAGGTTTGGTGTGGAGATTATGGCCAGACACCGTGCACTGTGCACCTCTGTAAAATGCCCGAGTTCCCAGTGGATGTGAGGGAAATCCGGGTGAGGGAGCACTATGGAAAGCCCATTAGGAATAGGAACACTTCTGGGCTTCAGGTAACTGGATGCCTGATGCCCGCTTTCACCTGCAGGGGGCTCGGGGCCATCCGGTAGGCTGGTCCTCAGGCTGATAACTGGAGTGTGGTAATGAAGACCCGCTTGATCGTTGCATTCATTTAAAAACAATTAATCGTGGTAAGGAACATAAAATGTTCCATCTTAAGTATTTCTCAGTTCAGTAGCATTAAGTGCATTCAACACTGTGCTGCCACAAATTTCCAGAACTTCTTCCCCTTGAAAAACTGAAACTTTACTACCACACCCCTGGACAAAAAGACCCACTCGTGGGCCTGAAAGGCTAGCGGGGGCCCAAAAGCAGGTGAACATTTCATCCGCAAGAGTGTGTGCTCTGCTGGGGCATCCTGTCGTTTCCTTCTTGGCACCGAGATCCTGAGACAACATGGAGCCGTGACTCCGGCCAGGGGCTCTGGTTCAGACCACCTTGGTTCGTGCTCTCCTCTCCCGCTTGGTAACCACGTACTTTGGACAAGTTGCTTAACCTCTCTGTGCCTCAACTTCCTAGTGTGTAAAATGGGATAATGAAAACAATCTGTGGCCCAATGAAATGATGTATATGAAGGGCTAATAATGACAATGCTTGGTACATGGTAATAACTCATTTTGTATTAGCCTAACTATAGCTCTAGAAGGGGCGCCTGGGTGGCTCAGTCGGTGAAGCATCTGACTCAGTTTTTGGTTCAAGCCCTGCGCCCGGCCCCCCGCACTGACAGCTGGAGCCTGATGGGGATTCTCTCTTTCTCTCTCTCTCTCTCTCTCTCTCTGCCCCTCCCACACTCATGCAGGAGCTTGTGCGTTCTCTCTCTCAAAGTAGATGAATACACTGAAAAAAAAAAAAAAAGGTCAGACATAATTAGGAACTTACTGATGATCAGGTGGTCAAGCAGGGGTTTTCATTGTGCAGGCTCTGTTCTGCAAGGCCAGGCAGCCAGTTAGATTGGATATCTCAGTATTGGTTTGGAGCTATCATATAGGCCAGAGGAGTGTTATATTGGGAGGTCTTTGCTAGCCACGGGAGAGGTTGGCTTCTAGACACTCCCTCCCAATGGCCCTGATACTTGGTTCAAACACACGGCAGGTGTTTTTTGCAGTTTGGGCTTCTGCAGCATAGCATTGCCTGGGGGGAGGGAGGTAGCACAGCATCCACTGGAAATCTCTTCCAGAAATCCTCCCCAAACTGAAGTCCTGTCATTACGTCTCCTTCAACTTCCTGTGATATTCCTCTTCCCTCTGGCACAAAAGCCATTGAGCCACTTAGCTCAGGTAGTCAACTGCAGGCTCTGAATGTGGTCGGGCCACAGCCTGAGTTTGCTCACAGGCCAGCGAGCTTCACAGAAAGTCAAAAACGAACAGTCTAAGGTGCATTTCATTGCAGTTCATTGCACCCAGCTGTATGTCAGTGGATTCCCAGGGAAGTGGCTGAGAGCGTGTAAATGGCCAAGATCTATCTGTCGCCATCATCAGGACAATCTGTGTGCACCCGTGCACTCCTGGCATAAGTAGGTCAGTGAACCTCCTGGGTGGAGTACACATGTTTCTCTGTCGCAATGCATGGCTCTTCCTGGGTTGTGCACCTGTCTTCTTGTATCATCCTCGGGTACCTTTTTTTTTTAATTTTTCATTTTAATCTTAAGATTGTAAGTTTGGAAAGATCAGGATTCCTGTCTATTCAACTGGCTGATGGAATTTCCATGGAGGATTTGCTAAGGTAGTTTATGGGTATGAGTCTGCACGGAGGCACCCAAAAAGCTAGGTGGGCACAGGGTCACCTGGTGGCACCAGTGATGGGAGGTGAGCTCAGGACCAGGAATCCAGAAAGCTGCCCCTGACCAGCTGGAGAAACCTTGGGGAGGGGTCTCCTCTCTGGCCTTTGTTTCCTCATCAGTAATGGAAGTGTTGGAGTGGATAGTCTTATAAAGGGTGGGGAGGGAATGAAGGCTGCGTGCCTCTAGTTGCCAGGTGTGCTTTTAAATTCTCTACCTGTGTGCTTACCCTAGTACTAGCTTTACGGGTTTTTTAAAATCCAGTCTTGGTAAAGTGCAGGTCTTCTCCCTGCCCCGTTTTCCTGAGATAGAATTGAGATGTCACATTGATATAGTCCTCCATTTTGATTTCTTTTTTTTTCTTCTTGTGAATTTCATACACGGCCAAGTACTTACTGTATTAGTCATGATAACCACTTCTGAGGGATGCACTGAGTACCGTCATATTCTGGGTCCTCCCGGGGGGCTGAGGGAGCCCTTCTGGGCCCCTGTTTCACTGTCAAGGTGGTACTTCCTGGTGGCAGAAGGCAGGACAGCAATAGCTCTCATGGTGGGTCCCAGGAAGCTCCCTGGACGTGTCCCTCCTTCTTTTCTCTTCTTGGGATGTAATGTGGGCCCTGCTTCGTCTGTTTGACGTTTTTGCGTCGATGGCCACTTTTTCGGTGGCAGATTCTCTCCGCGGTGTTTTTCCATAATACCGAAGCTCCCTTTGCCTAACCTGGCCGCTTAGGGTCTGTGGGATAACAGGGCCTCATTTTTGCCTTTTAAACACGCAAGCAGGTGCTTTTCCTGCATCTGCCTCCCCAGCCCCACAGAACCTGGAAGCATCCTGCTAACCTTGGCCATTGTCATGCAGGTATTAAGCCCAACTTACAAGCAGAGAAATGAAGACTTCAGAAAGCTCTTTAAGCAACTTCCAGACACGGAGCGCCTCATTGTTGGTGAGCTGGGAGACCTGGGGATGGAGGGCAGGGGGCAAGAAGGAAGTCTGGGATCCCAAGGACAGCACTCAGGCTGCTTCTGTCTCAAGGTTGCCCACATAAAAGCCAGCCCAAGCGAGAACATCTGTCCGGGAGCAGGGAGAGAAGATGTCCAGAGCGCCGACCCCGGTGGTTGTGGCTCAGGGCTAAGTACCATGTGTGTGGTGGCCTTGACAGAAAGCCCAACCTGGAAGGAGTCTCTGCCATTCTTAACCTCTGTAGATGGCCCAGCGGTGAAGGGTTGGGGTAACTGTGTAGGGGAGGGGTATTCCTTGACTTAAAAAAAAAATTTTTTTTTTAGTGTTTATTTTGAGAGAGAGAGAGCACGAGCAGGGGAGGGGCAGAGCAAGAGAATCCCAAGAAGGCTCCATGCTGTCAGTGCAGAGCCCCACGCAGGGCTCAGTCTCATAAAGCGTGAGGTCATGACCTGAGCTGAAATCAAGAGTCGGACACTTAACCGACTGAGCCACCCAGGCGCCCCGTGGCCTTTTCTACCTCCGACGTCTTTGCCCCGCCTCTGCCATCTCATCCATTCCTCTGCCTCCAGGCGAAAGCACGGTGATTTTTCAAATCACATGAGACACCAGGGACTCCCTTGGCCACTAGTTCAAGGGTCTCACCCACCTAGTGAGCCTAGTGAGTGGGAGGCAGTTGGGCTCCCCCAGTGCTGGTGGAGGGCGGGCATGCTTAACTTGTAGTGGTTCGCTGAAGATGCGTCCCGTCTCTGAGCTCTCTGCCCCCCATCCTACCACAGATTACTCATGTGCACTCCAAAGAGACATTCTTCTTCAGGGCCGACTCTACCTCTCTGAAAATTGGATCTGCTTCTACAGCAACATCTTCCGCTGGGAAACTCTGGTAAAGACCTGGGGCTTGCCTCCGGGGTTGTCCCCTTGGCTGTGACTGAACAAGCTGCCCCCACCTGCCCCTTTTTGTTGACTTCATGCTCCACCCACACCTTTGCACAATTCCTAAATGTACAGGCCGAGTCTTGAGGGATAGACCTCCTCTACCACGTCTTCCCCTACCTCCCTCCCTCCCTCCCGGGTGTGGAAGAGAGTGTGGGAGCATTTGCTTTCGGCAAATGCAGTTAAGTATTCTGCAAGGCGTAGGATAGTTGAGTAAAAGGAACATTGGCCTCAGAACTGGCTTGTACGTTATCTGCGTTCTCCACCTAGTGAGCTGTGTGCTACTAGGCTGGTCCTTTGCTCTTTCTCTATTTCCTTATCTTAGGAGATAAAGTGGGAAGGGTAAACTGGGTGACTTTTATGGTTGCATCCAGTGCCAGTGTTCTGTGTTTCTGTAAGTGGCAAGTAGCACGGGGCCTCTGCACGTTAATCGGACTGTGTAGACTTGAGAAAGAAGGCTCCCTGCACCAGGAGCTGAGGCACCCTTGGGCTCTAGGCGAGGCTCAGCCACCACGTCGCCCTGTGGCCTCCGTGAAGTAGGGGGCTAAACCAGATGATCTCTGAGGAGGTCCCTTCTAGGTTTAGAAATACGTAGACTGACACGTGATCTCCCCTCTCTGAACTGGGGCCGTGCGAATGCTCACTGCCGACTCAGTTAATGTCTCCTCTCCTTATCCACCCTCCCTTCCCTGTGGGGTGCCAGCTGACTGTCCGTTTGAAAGACATCTGCTCCATGACTAAAGAAAAAACAGCTCGCCTCATTCCCAATGCCATCCAAGTTTGCACTGACTCAGAAAAGGTAAGTGGAGTCCGACCTTGGACTTTCTGCTCCCCGCTGCCCCTGTCCCCAAGCCTCGCACTTCTGTCCCTCAGTTGCATGAATATGGAAGCCAGTAGGATGGCAGCGACAGATGGTCAGGTGATGCCGATCGTGGGGGTCGCCTCCACTGGGTCAGGGTGTTTGGATTCTGAGCAGGGGTGAAGATGGAACGGCTGAACGTTGCACTTGGAGCCAGAACACTTAAATTTGAGTCCCGTAACCGTAGGTGTGTTCCATTGCCTCTCTCAACCTAAGTTTTCCCATGTATAAAATGGAGCCAGCCATTCCTATAACACTCTTGAAATGACATCACA